CATCCTCGTAGTCGCCTTGCTGCTCCGCCTCAGACTTGATGGCAGGAATAGCAAGCAAACATTTGTCAGTGTCTGCCCAATCACTTGTTATGAAGGCGGCACGTTCGTGCAGCTCACCTCTGCCATAGTATGGAAGACTTCGAGGGCAAATGCATTCATCAGGCCGGGCGTGACGCGCTCAGCAGCCTCAAGAGCTCTTCGAACATCAATGATGGTTCTTTGTGCGTCCGCGTTGTGTGAAACCGCAAGGGAAAGCTGCAAGAAAGAATAAATTTGTAAATATAAGTTCGCGAAGCGTTGTAGGCGACTACACACCCAAGTGGTGAGACATACCTGCTCAAGCACTGGCAGGAAGACGCCGTGCAAAGCCGAATTGGGCTGGGATCCTGGCTGGGCTTGACTTGCACCATAATCAGGGCCACTGCCTCCTGTGCGCGATAGCTGAGCAGCCGCAGCACCTGGATCCATGCTTCCGTCGCTACCGCTGCTCGCGCCTTTCTGGTGCGAGTGCAACCTGAGTTCGTCCATCCCCCTCGTCTCCTGCTCTACTTCGTCCACTCCTGCCGCTCGCTGATAAGCCTGAGCAGCGTCGTACGCTTGCGCATACCCATTTCCGCCATCATGCGCATGCTGCCCACTATGCCCTTCACCTCCCACAATTTCGCTACCTGCACGAGCATGACGGGGAGGTCGAGGCGGAGTGCCGGCGCCAACAGGCTCAAATTTGGCGCCGTAGTCTCTCGCCTGCACGGGACCTGAGCTACCTCCGATGTTGTGAATCGAGGGATCTCTGGTGCGACTTGGACCTGAGATTCCCGCTCGCGTCTGTCCAGCGCCCAAACGAACAGTTCCGCCTGCAGAACCCGATCCGCCTGAGCCAAACGATCTCTGAGATCCATATCGGTCTTGGGGGACGCCGTGATTGGGTTTTGGAGGTGTAGGTAGACCTTTCTGCCCCAGGCGCCCGTTCGCTTGGGCCGCAGTGTACGGGTGGAGGTCTTGACTTGCCGTATGCGCAAAGTCCGCCCCGCCAGCTCTGCCCACTGTCCCTCTCCTCACAGTGCCAAAGTCCCAATCATCTTCTCCAGCATCGCCGACCTCTTCTTGTGAACGACGCTTGTCATCACCCTCGTCGGGACCATCTCCGCCCTCTGCACGCCATCTCTCAAGCCTCTCTATGAGCTCGGTAAGGTAAGAAGTCTTCTTGGCGTTCCTGATGAAGCGATGCTTGAGCAGCTCGCGTGCGGTGGGTCGCTGTGGCAAATGCGTGCAGCGTGAGCTTGCGGTCGCTCTGGATAACACCAACAACATCGAGGCATTCCGTGATGACTCACGTTTGCAGGATCTCTCTGCAAGCAATAGCTCACGAATTCTCGGAAGGGTTTCGAGAAAGCCTGGTCGAGCTGTGGTGGAGGATTCTTTGGAATGAGGAACAGAACCTAGTTGGGAAGAAGAAGATGCTAATCAGTCACTAGCCAGCGTTGTCAGGCAGCGTAAAGCATGCGCCGCCCCGACGCCACTGACCTTCATAGGATGCAGATCAGCGTAGGGAGGCTCTCCCATCGCTAATTCGATTGCTGTGATGCCTAGACTCCAAATGTCGGCCTTGAAGTCATATCCACTCTGCTTGATCACTTCGGGGCTCATCCAGTAAGGAGTGCCCACGAACGTGTTTTTCTTCGTCATCGTAGCCGTCAATTGTCCAGAAACACCAAAATCAGCCAGCTTGACATCTCCGCTGCTAGACAGCAATATGTTTGCCGCTGCGAATTCCACGAGAGGCAGGCGAGTGAGCGCGCACGAAGCCTCTTTTGCGCCGAAGAGCAAATGCGTACTAGCGCCTGGACGCACCTTTGATGTCTCTGTGAAGCTTGCCCTCGCCATGCAGATAGTCTAGCCCCTTCAGCAGCTCTCGTAGCACGATGGCAATGTAATCTTCTCTGAAACGGCCCGGCTTCATCTAGGTGTTCGTGCGGCGGACAGTCCCATCGTGAGCATCCGCAATAGAGTGTTGGTGTAAGAGCATCTGCTGTATCTCACCAAATCAGAGCAGCTACCACCACTGCAGTACTCCATCACAATCCAAAGATTCGTGCCCTTGAGCCATGACCCGTGATATCTGAAAGGAGGTACACCGCGGCGCAAGCGTCAGCTCAGCTCTGCGGTGCGTTGGCAAGGATTTCATGTTTAACTCGACGGCGCGCACGTCGCACTCACTTGGTCACATGCGTGCTCTCCATCTGGCTCAATATGCTGATCTCTTGCTGGATATCATCGATCTCATCCTCGGCACTTTCCAAATCAATGATCTTGATCGCTACGGGCTGCCTGGTGATCTTGCTGAAACCTTTATACACCTCACTGGTGTCCGATCGAGATGCATTAGAGGAGTGGGGAACGGTCAGCGTTGCTGAGAAAAGACAAGGTTCGGACCCACTTGGTACTGAGCCGCAATGAGAGCATTAGGTGCCAACACGCCGCCTCTCCCAAACCCATTCGTCTGTGTTCCACCAGCGCGCGATACTCACCCAAAGGAGCCTTTCCCGATCCTGTCTTGTTTGACGTAGTACTCCTCCGGATCGGAGCCCTGAGGGGCGGCCTGAGCAAGCATGGTGATGTGATTTGTCAGGAGTCAATGAGAAGTCGCGGATGCAGATGGTGTTGAAAGTCCATGATAGCGCTTGCAGGGCAGCGCTGGGAGATCCGCTGATTTGCACATACTAGGCGTGTAAACTTACCATCTTTAATGTCTCGCTGTCCTTCAAAAGAGTAGGGACTGCCCCTATCCCAACAACTTGAACGAAATTATTCTGATCCGTGGCCCACGAGCAACAGCGAGTGCCTGGGCGTAGCGTGGGATGGGAGTAATGACGGCGGACCTAGCAGACAAAATGCAGAGCTGATGCGAACACGATCGCGGCTGAATGTCGAGAAGCTATGGGGCTTACCGTACGCCGATGACGGGCGCTGAAGACGAGCAGCGCCGATGACAGCTTCGCCTATCGGACAGCTCTAGGCTGCGTGATGATGGCTGCTCGGAAGCACAATGAGAGACGATGTCGTGGTCGTGGGCGATGGCTTGGGTCTAGACAGCATGAAAACGCTGAGTAGCCGCTCGTTGCACGGCGTACATGGAGGAGACATGCTTGACCCGCTCAACACCCGCGATTTGTGACCCCGGTGCTGCTGTCGCGCTGACGAGCAAGGAGGCCCGTCCCGACACGCAACGTTCGCGCGGTGCGGGTGCCGCCTAAATCGATCCGCCGAGGGGGCTTGCATCAGCTTGGTGCTGTGTTGTGCTGATGCTGCTGCATGGTGCATAGAGATGCATGCTGCATGGCACCCGCGCCACACGACGGCGTGCTCTGGCCGCGCTGATGATGTACTCACGATTAGGCGCGCGCGTCAGCATTGTGATTCTGATTCACCATTGCCGCCCCGGCAACGCGCGAGTCAGGATGATATGCAGTCACAACTACTAACTGTACCTACCGTGTTGTATCGTCAGCATCAGCATGCTGCTGTGTCGTGGGGTGCTGCTGCTACATACGCGCGCATGTAGCCCCCCTGCTGCGCGCCTTTGCTGGTAAAGTGTAGTTCTACCGCGGCCGCGGCAGTAGCAGTCGTAGTGTGTATAGTATATATAATAGCGCTGCCGTGGCGCGACGTGAACCTGGAAGGGACCAGCACTCGTTGCTGCTGGTCACAACCCTTTCCGCCGTTGAACCAATTCACGATGACACCGGCTGACGCCGACCAGTCATGTCAGGCTCAACGGACCGCGTTGTCTGCATATGTATATCTCCGACGCCATACGCGTTCACCGCATGTGTGTTCGGCGTCTCCGCCCTCGATCGGGAGGGGTTCAAGGCGTGAGATTTGCCCTCGGCAGAGTCACACATCAGTGATGGTCGAGACAGGCTTCGACAAAGGTAGCCAGAGTCTGAGTTGCCTACTGGACATCCTCGGACGACTCGCACATTTCCTGATTCACATGGTGCTTCATCCACCACTCAGACTCGTGACTCACAGACTCTCGTGCAACGGCCATGCATATGACGCTCGAGTCACACAGTCTGATGAGTGTGCGCACGCTCCACCGAGCGAGCACAAAAAGTTCCGCCAGCAAGAGCCGTTAAGCGACTCGCTGCGCGCGTCACGATGTGTGCAGTACAGTGTGAGTACGCTAGGTAGACGTGTCCCGGATCTCACTCCACCTGCTCCTTATTCACGACCAGCAGGCTAGTGTGATGCACACACACCCACGTTACCACGCTACGGCCTCTTGTTGCTCTGGACCACAGGCAGCGATCGTGCGGGCCCTTTCGGCTCGACAGCTCTCATGCCGCCACTACTACACCTCTGTCTACACTGTGTGGATGGACCCACATGTCATGCCAGATCTCCCAACATCTTACATTTGGCAGCTGGCGCGGAAGGACAGGCAATCAGTCACTCTCAAGCGATGGAGTCGGAGGTGAAGAATATGCGCAAATATATGCACACCGATCCAGAAGTAACCGAGATTTTTACCTCATCATGTTGCTCTGCGTCTCGCAGTCTCAAATCCACCATCATTACAGTCACGATCAAGAATGACGGGTGACGAGGCACGGAGCACAGAATCTATGCCAGATTCAGGCGGCCCAGGACACGTATAGTCTTCAATCTTACAAATGTGTCAGCTTCTCGAGTCTGATTCATGGCTGGTATTAGAAGTCACAGTCTTTGGATGGACCCGCATCTGTTAGCCTGGACTACGCCGGCGTTCACTCCGGCAGTCACGAGTGGCGAGTCTGTGGGCGATCCAGAGCATAAGCTGTGATGAGAACTCACAGCGGAGCTCGGCAAGCAGGCAGTCAGGCTTTAATCGCGTTCGACTCCGAATGACTACTCGCACTATTTTGCGAGCGCGGGGTGGGTAGAAGCAGCAAGCAGGGGACCAGGGAAGCTTCCGTGCGCCAAGCCTGCATTGCGTCCGAGACAGCGCACAAGGTTGGGATCGTCGAACGCGAGTGTTGAGCCGTGAGTCACAAGTGCACGCCAGCGAAGCGGACCACATTCGCTGTCGGCCACAGGCACGTAGCCACATTGTACGCCGGCTTTTGAATGTGACAGCTTGCGCCAGGTACTCGTGAATGTGTACAGTCCAGGAGGATTGTTGCCTACGTATATGCGCGACCGTTCCAAATCTCCTCATGGGACGCTCCATTGATCACTTCTGTAGCTCATGCGAAGCGATGGTCAAGCGGCACACAAGATCGTTGTTACCCCAAGCGCGGTCTCTAGCTGAGTTTGTGGGTTGATGATGCGCTCGGTCTTACTTAGGACCCACGAGCCACACCTGTTGCGACTGTTGTACTTTGCTTAAGGATGCACCGCCTAGTCTGCCCGCGTTCCAACACATTGCTTTCGATCGGCGACACCGGCCTAGCAAGCCTACTGAAGGAAAAGCTATCTGCTTCGTCCGAAACGATATCCAAGCAGGCGCGAGATTGGGTGTCCAGCACTCGAGCTTCACGCACTCGCACTTCTGAGCGGAAAGCTCGCGTGGAGTCGAGTGTGAGCAGCAGAGGGGAAAATCTTCTTCTGAACGTCACTTCGCAGCAATAGCGAAATCAATACTCAAAATTATACGCGCAGTCACAGGCAAGAATCGGAAGAGTCGTGAGCGTAGACATGAATTAGTCTGATGAAGGAGATGTGATTGATGGGAAGGCAAGCACCCTGAAGCGCCAGACGTATCGCTTCCGCTGAAGTTGAACAGATCACGTGAAAGCGTCATGTATACACGATCGCCGCATGAGAAGCCCGTGCGCCAGAAAAATCGCGCTGGCTGGCGTGTAACAAGGGCTGGTCGACGTGGTGCTCATTTCGCGCACACGCTGTGCTCAATCGCGCATCGATCTATCTACACAGTTTTGAGTCTGATGAGTCAAGAGTCAAAGAGTACCAGGCTTGTTCGATACACAGTCACGAGCGCCGACGCCACGGTAAGATTTCATGACGACGCTGGAGACCGGAAACAGCACCCTGGATACGCATAGGAACTCGACGTGATCTCAACTCTGCAGGCACGACTGAGCGTTAGCCCACGCTACAAGTCGCCTCGACGTGATCTCAACTCTGCAGGCACGACTGAGCGTTAGCCCACGCTACAAGTCGCCTCGACGCCAAACACCTTACTGCCCTTCCTCACGAATTTTCATCCAGTCTGAGTTGCCCGTCGCAGCTTGCATCTCTGCAGACCCTTTTCGATGCCAAGCCGCGAGCTTAGGTGACTTTTGGAACATTCAAGCTCTGACATCATCCCTCGCGTGTAAAGCCGCCAAACACAATTCGCAAGTAGAGGTCTCGTGATGTACCAGCAAGGCCAGTATTCGTCGCGATCGCCGGTGAGTAGTCCTTGCAACTCTGAATACGCGCGCAGGGCTGGCTAAGACAGATAGAGCCATTTTCATCTGCTTAGCCGCCATTGCAGCACCCCGTACCAACGCACCCGCCGGTACAGGTTCCGATTCCATCCGGAACACCAGGGCCTGGCAGCCAGAGCAGCGGGCGACCCTCTATTGACGGGGGAGGGTTTGGAAGCACAAGCACAGCGGAAGCCCATCTCTCGTCCGCGAGAGCCAGAGGCGGTCAGTCTGAAAGTGGCTATGCCCGCTATGCTTCTCCGCCCTTGCAAAATCCTTATGGACAGCCGCAGAACCAATATCAACAGTATGCTGGGGGTATGGGTACTGGGTCCAAAGGAGTGAGCGGCGGGATGATGCATCAACAGCCGCAGCCGCAGCAGCAGCAGCATCCGAACCAGGGCTTCCAACAATTTGGAAGCTTTGCCAGTTTTGCGAATGGAATGGGAAATGGGCAGGCTGGAATGGGAGGCAACATGTTGAATGATGCTACTGCTCAAATGGGGGTGCAATTTGGGCGTCAGATGGCAGCTGCTGGACAGGAGTACGTTGGCAAGAACGTGAGTCGATGCAGGCACGGAACGAGAAGTTGAGCGACTCACCCCTGACGCCCGAGGTGCACCTCAACAGTTCGGATCCTTCCTTCCGGTGCCATTATTGAAACACTACTTCAACGTGTCGAACTCGTACGTACTGCACAAGTTGCGCCTCGTCCTCTTCCCTTGGAGGCACAAGCCTTGGTCCAGGCTTCACGCGGCTGCTGTAGGAGCATCTGCGTATGGAGATCCGCAGTACGGTACGTCGACATCAAAGGCAGAAGGGTACGCTCCGCCGAGGGAAGACGTGAACAGTCCGGACCTCTACATCCCGGGTGAGTTACCACGTGCTACAAAGACTTGCGAGCCCCAACGCTAATTTGCGCTAGGTCTGCTATCTCGTCTCGCGTGAAAGTGATGGCATTCGTGACATACGTCCTGCTTGTTTGCATCATCCGTGGTATCGAATCGCGCTTCCATCCTGAAGTACTTGGCCTGACATCATCGAAAGCCCTGGGGATCGTCTTCTTCGAATTTGCTGCCGTCAAGCTCGGATGCTACTTGCTCAACATTCAAGGGGACCACACCGTCATCGATTTGGTTGCTTACGGTGGCTACAAGTTTGTCGGTGCTATCGTCACTTTGCTAGCTGGTCTGACGCTGCCTGGACGACTCATCTACTGGAGCGTCTTCGCATATACTTGCGCCGCCAACGCTTTCTTCCTTGTAAGTCGCTTCGGACTCAGCTGCACTGACGAGGATACTACACGCTTACATGCGATATACCTCTTGGCTCGCCTCGCAGCTGCGATCGCTTAGATATGTGGTGCTGCCAGACCCCAGCAGCCCTAGCAGCGTCACCATCACACCACAAACCAGATCGAGGCGCATCCAGTTCCTCTTTGCGATTGCCGCTGTACAAACACTTTACTGCTTCTTGCTTATCATTGGCATTTGGCACTGAAAGCAATCTTAGAACGTCACTGCACTGCTTCTTCCTGCTCATCGGCGCTTGTAGATCGAACTTCCTTGCACGCCTGGGATGTCTTGAGCGCTCTTTCTGCATCACAGCGGGTCTCTTCTCGAATCTAGCTCGCCAGGCCTTTCGGGGAAGAATGGGGTTCCCCAGGGTGTTTGCCTCGCGTGGCCGTACTTGTGGCCAGAGCTCGCGCTCCTCTCGGCGTCGACATTTGTCGCATTACATTCGCGTCCACCTGAGTCTGCCTGAGTCGTCGGTCTGTTTGCTGCGCAACCATCTTTGCGTACAACTTAGCTCAACGGCGATTGGTACCAAGACGCAATCAGGCAGTATGGATCGGCAGCTCACAGCTTTGAGAAAGCGTGAGTGTGGTCAAGGTGTACATCGAGCTTCAAGTCGATTACTGCAATCAGGTCAAAGTCTTGAGAGCGTTTTTGAGTCAAAGGGGACCAACCGGCGCTCATGAGATGCCACGTGACACCGCGAAGTGTTCTTCCATGCGAAGTTCTGCGTGCAAGACGGAAATGCGCACACGCGCGTGCGTTTTGTGGTACCGCGGCAGCTGCAGGAGGAGGCGCACGCGTGAGCATTGATTGCATGAGCAGGCAAACGCAACGGCGAGGACTGTGCGTGCTTGCTGCCCATGCTGCGCTGCGAAGGAAGTAAGCGATGATGAGAGTTGTGTAGTCACGAGGGCTGATCGTCGCCCGGCTTGATCATGCGTCGTGGATCGTGGATCAGGAATCACAATGATGAATGAGGGATCGACTGATGATGATGGATCTGTGAGGAAGTTCAGTCGTGAATCTGACTCCAGACTGCATCTCGCGCCTTTCAGCGATCACCTCGTCCAAGCACTCATCCTAGAGACACGATTCTCTCTTCTCCACCAAAAGCTCAACAGCCGACAAGCCGTTGCAGACTCACGCATACACCTGCTTCTCATTCTTC